ATGATTGTGGTCCAAGAATTGCAGTTCCTCAAACTTCTCTTTCTGCAAAAGGTCAAAAGTAAATTCTATGAGAGGCTAAATGTAGACAGGATGCAAGTAATGAACAAGACGCCACACAAGGAGTATGAGTCAAGTTAGTTAAGCTACGTAGTGTCCAAACGTAATTCAGACAGTGTAATGTGAGTAGTTTTGGCTGATTCAATACCAAACATGCCGCCACATTACAATTATCGGCAGCAGTTTGTCAGTTTGCTGTAAAAGGCGGCGGTAGACTAGTCATGACATGATATCATCTAGAACCTGAGCTGCATACTCAGACAACTTTGGCCTTAGATCAGCCAAGAAACCTTCATTAGAAGTTGTGGAATTCCAAGCTGATTCGCCCCTGCATTCCTCTTAAATAAGAAATGCCTAATGATGTGTTTATGAATTGAAATAGTAGCCCATGTGTCCCAGGGTCCTCGTATTTTACAGGATATCACTTGTTTGACTCATACGCTGATGCTTCCGTTTCCACAGCAGAAATGTTCACTGAGGCAGACAGTTACTGGAACTCCAGAGACCTGAAAATCAGTAATTTGATGTTACTGGAATGACCGATTCTTTCTTGTTTGCACAGTGGCTGCATGATTTCATGTGGTACCACTGCCTGATGCTGAGTCACAAACACAATATGTAAGGAATGACAATGTTTTTGACCGAAAATGAAATGTGCCCCTGTAATGGTACGTAGTTCCACTGAGCCCTGTATTACATCTGCGACCTCCGCCCCCCCTGCAATGCAAAGCTGGGATTTGTGGCCTTGTGATCACAGGCACAGCTTCCTAACCCACTTACCAGCGCACTACAGGTGAACCTGATCCATGGAGAGCCTCAGGGGGTGTGCTCTCAATCAGCCAGTAATAATGCAGCAGTCCTGGCGACCCACTGTTATTGGTTGATTCCAAAAACCCGCAGCGGGCCTCCACGGATCAGGATCGCCACCCCTACAATACAGCATTGCTATGTCTACACTGGAGAGGGTGTTACTATGTCTAACAACAGCATTTTTTAAATCAGTTTATAAAATTGCTCTTAAATCACAAGGTGAATGTTTCAGAACAAAAATCTAAAACCTGTTTGACAAATGGTTCTAAGAAGAGAAGCCTGGCAACCAGTGCTGAATTTGTCGTTTGTTGTTATTACTCTTCAACAAAATAAAACAAACATTGCAAATGATATTTTAACCTGTCAGCTATTTGTCAATGTTTTAAAAGAAATAAACAGAGTAAAAGACAGCACTAACTGAATGGTTTGATTTTAGCTGTGGATTCTGGTATTCTGTGCAACGTCACATCCAAACCTCTCACAATGTTTACAACCAGGAAGGAATACTATTGCTTTCTATAAAAACCAATCCAAATTTTAATGCACAATAAGAGTGAATTGATATAACAGGTACTGTGCCGTCCTGTATCTCCTTTTGAAAATACATTGATATATTGCGTAAAGTCCCACCATGACACCGACCCTGCAGGCCCACATTAAGGGCAAGGATTAGGACTGAAGTTCAATGCCCCATGCGATGGATTGTGACTTGACTTAAATTCATTTGCCTGGTTACCACAACAGAGTGACTAACAGCCTTTATTGACTAACTGCCTGATAACCAGCAGTTGGGATTCTAATGGCTACTGGGGACATAATAGAGCCTCCAGAGCATGAATATGATTTTCACCAAAGGCATTTCCATTCATAATGTCAAATGAGTCAAAGTGCTGTATTCCAAGGACTCGCCACACCTTTTAAATTGCTGGCACATTTGACACCCGTAGCTATACCCGCAGCTGTTTATGACGTTTCCTTCTGCTCCTTTCAGTTTAGCAGCCTCCTTTTATTTATTACCTCCTGAGATACTGATATACCAGCATGGTCAGTTGCCTTTCTAATTGTACATCAGAGCAGTTGCTGTTAACAATGGTCTTTATCAGCACTCTGATGCCACAAATTCTTCCATGTTTTCCTTCTATTGGAGTGAGGTGAGAGATTAGACGGACACACCCTCACTCTCAGCTGCGCTTTTAGCCTATACAGATGATTAAATGACAGAGGCCTTTTTGAGAATAGAGTCTGTTAGCATTAGAATGAACCATTTATAGCAGGACTGTGTGCGGGCTGCCACAACAGAAACAAAACAATCATGTTTTATGGACTATGATGGGTGGGTCGGTGGTGCAATCACACAACCTCATGGTCTGTTTGAGTGCTTAATGGCAGCCATAAAAGGGCTCAGTTCCCTTCGATGACACCCAGGCAGCTTTCTGCCAAACCTACAGAAGAATTGTGCATTGCAATGACCCAGTGACCCAGGATTATCGAGTTTCATGTGAGATTTTAACACCCCATCTTGCTTTTTAAGTTTTGTGTGGGCGTCATGAAACTGCACACCTAAACAAAACAGGAACTGGGCCCGGATTCTGGGAAGGGTCATCTGCCAAAGGAACTTCTATAGCAAGCTTGTGAACATATTTGAGGAAATCCTCATTATTAGAGAAAGGAAAACAATGCAGACATTGAGAAAAGTGCAGCTTTGCTGACTGCCCCGTCCGTCAGTATGACGCTGGTATATGGCGTCACGAGCAGGATTGTATCTTCAGAAATGGTGTCTCCTGGCATTGTTGGTCAGAGGTTAGGTGGGGTGCTGTGGGGGGGTGGTGAGCTCTAGTCTGCCAAAGTTGCAATCCTGCAGAAATTAAGAACTTCTTGCTTAGCATTTGTTTTGCAGAATAAACCCTGCTGAGGCCGTTATTAATGAATGCTAAAACATTTTTGCAAACTGAAACATGATGATAAAATTAAATTAAAAAACTACAACTAAACAAAAGTTATAAATATTGCTTTCAAAGCTATATGAAATTAAAATAAATGTCAAATACTTTACTGTTTGTAAATTTAGTTTAGCGAATGTAATTATTTACTTATCTTTACTATTAATAATGCCTGGAAATTTTTTTGCCCATTTTGAAAACATTAGTACACAATGTGTGCTGTGTATTTATGTAGGATTCTCTAAAGATCAGACACATAAAATACCTGAACTTTCAGTCTTTCCCCAGAGATAAAATTACTAGAGCTTAAACTGAAACTAAATATATATATATAAACAGAAACATATCTTTAAAATAAAAACTAATATAAACCACACTGAAAACTAATTAAAACTACATTTCAAATGGAAATTGTAAATATAAAAAAAAAAGAAAAAAAATCAAAACTATTATTATGCTGGTGAGGAGTTTTTTTACTGGAAGTCAAGTGGCAGGTGATAATTTGGCACTCAGGGGACCAAGCAGAGGAACGTCTCACTGCACAGGAGGTCTGGGTCCACCAGGCCAGGGGATCTGCCTGACTCGCCTACACTGTGTGGGGACAGTAGTCTTCTACCTGCGTCTTGACAGCATGGTGGGCGGGGCCATTGCCATGGGCACTGCTAGAGATTTTGGGCCCCCAGACCAATCCAATTATGTTCCAAATCAGGTTCCCTGTCAGGCCCTTGAAATTGTCCGAAATGTTGGTGCCCCTGGTCATCAGGTTTCTCACTGAAACATTGGGGTGAATGAATTTGTGCTTTTCCCATTAACTTAACCTGCTGCCTCAGCACTGAAGTTGATGGTAGGTTTTCGATAACAGGATTTGTGTTTACTGTCTATTATCAGTCTGGAATAAAGGGCGGCGGGTAACTCTTTTGTGTTGCACTGTTACAGTTGAAGTTACAAGTTTTATTGTCACAGCTGGTGCTTGGCGACTTGGTCACTCTAAATCAGCAGGCCTCCAACGTTTTGTGCACCATAGACCCGGTTCAAATAAGACAATTTTCCACAGAACGGCCATCATGTGTGTACTAACGTACATAACAATGAAATACAATAAAATTGTTACTTATTTGTGAAAAGTTATCCCACAATGCCTGTTGTCGAGGTTTTGTTTGTGTGTACGCTGCACGTGCCTGTGGCATTTTTCCAAGCGGTCTAGTATCAGGGACTCATGTGTTGACCTGCCCGATATGGCGCCCATACAGGCTCATGTCCAATCACAAACGCTGCATCTACCTTATCATACCTATGATTGAAACTGTGAAAGAGGCACAGACAGAAGTGATGGGGAGATGATCTGGTCTTTTTTCAAAATAAAACCCTGCAGACTCCCAACAGTCAAGGAAATAGAATTTTTTTAAATTATTATTCTTTATGTGTGGCCCTGGACCAGTGTGCAGCCGGGGGTGGAGGACTGCTGCTCCAAATAGCCCATAATGTGTGAGCGTCTTCCCTGCAACTGATGCAACCTACATGGAAACCACAGCAACTTAACTTTCACTTATCAGGTTAATTTTATTCAGGGAAGAGTACTAGTCCATCTCCAAGCCCCAAAGTTTGGGTAAACCTTAGGCCTGGTATTTGACTGTATTATCATACATCATAATGCATCATTATCACATATGATTGTGTGCACGTGGCTAAACTGTCAGCATCCACTGCAAAAACTAAATAACATGACAAAGCCATTCGTTTTGCTTTCATCACGTTTTGAATCCAAGTCCCAGTTTCTCTGGTGTGTACTGAGTCCAGATGTGACCCAGTACGCCAGGAATGGCTCCTGTAACCTGACCATTGGTTGACTGCAACCTTATCTACCCTAACCTCAAAGCAGATTACTTGTTTCACTGTGGAGAGGTCATTTACGGCTCGCAGTCCGAATGGTGTGGTGTGCCCATACGTGCGCATGCATGCTCTCGATGAAATCACTTCCTGTTTAACCTTTGATTTACAATGTTGTTTGCATAACTCAAGACAAGACAGGGACTGCTTATCTCAGCACACTAGCAGCTGTATGTGGAATAAGTGCATTGCAAGTGAGGTATGCCCTATATGGTAATGCACTATATGGTAATGCCCTATATGGTAATCTGGAGGTAAAAAAAAAAACACACCGAACTACTATCATTATTGAATTACGAAGTCAGTACTTTTATCTGAAGAAATTAGTTTACATAAAGTAAATGTATACATGTGAACGTCCCACTGCTTCCATTGGTCAAAGGTTCTGTCTGTCTGCAAAGTAACACAGTATCTTTCAGTGCTATTTCACCGCCTCTGTGGCACCTGCAGCCCCAGTGACCCAAATCTCTTACTGATGTTTGAAAAACAGAAAACCTGCTATTGTATTATTTAATAAGTATTACTTAATACGGAAGTTATCATCTTGAAAGAATGACCCCATGTTCAATTCTTTTTGTTTACTAAAAATTTACTAAATAATATACATACTTCGATGCTGAATACAGCAGTTAATGTCAATGAATAACAATGTAATCCATGCTGATATATTTTATGACAACAAATTAACTGCTTATCGAAAGGGAGAATCTGAAGACAGATTGAAACACTGCATAGAGAACAACCACTAAGTCATAAAAAAGAAAATATATTTCACAATATTTTATAATATAAAAGAAAAAACAGTACATTTAGCCAATGACAATGGCGATATTAAAGTACTGTAATTGCATTTTAACCTTAAAACCATTTATAAAGTGATATTAACATAAAAATATAAACAATTCAAAATGTATTTTCTTATCAAATTTTCTCATAGTAAAAAAGAAAACATCATTTGACCTGACACAGGTCAGGAGGTCAGGTGTTACACCAAGGAACAAACCTTTTTTGTACTCAAGGATCAAATCTATACATGCATTCATTGGGCCTGAGCAAAACCACGCCCGTTAGTACAGTGAGTCACCCAAACCCCATTCATATGTTAGCCAGTCCTGATGGTAATGTCGATCATTTGAATTTTTAGTAGCCTAATATGATTTTGTCACTATATAATATATAATACTATTTATATATTACTATGTATATAATTTATATTGCTCGGGGGGGGGCGGGGTTTGCATAGTGACACAGTGGTTAGCACTGTTGTCTCACACCTCTGGAACCTGGGTTCGAGTCTCCACCATGGATCCATGTGTGTGGAGTTTTCGTGTTCTCCCAGTGTTGGGATGGGGCTTCCCCCCACGCACAGTCCAAAAACATGCAGATGCACGTAGGTATGCATGTGTGAGTGGGCCCTGTGATGGGTTGGTGCCCTGTGATGGGTTGGTGCCCCATCCTGGGTTATTCCCTGCCTTGTGCCCATAGACTGCAAAACCCCTGTAACCCTGAATAGGATAAGAAGTTACAGAAAATGATTGGATGGATAATTGATCTATAACGTGAATTACAGTAACCAAAACTGACTGCCAAGCGCTCAATACCTTTGGACATACAGATGTGTGTGTTTTCATGTGCAAATCTTGCAGCGCTCTTCTCTGCTTCTTTTAATGGTAGTTTACCTTACACTACGGCATTTCGCGAAAGTAAAAAGGATTATAAAAACATAACTGAAAATAAGACTCAGGGGTACACATAGCTCACACCAAACGACAGACTGCATAGCATCCTGGATAAGAAACAAACAAGCAATAAGAAAAATGAGCCCAAACTGACCCAAAGTCCATGGCATACAGCAGAAGACGCATCCCGTCCCGATACGCTTGAGATGACCCGCTAAGTGCTCTCCGCCAAACGTGCGCCAAACACTATGCATCCGTCCCCCGAGAAAGAAGGAACGCCCCAAAATAGAGAGACTTCTCATCTATTTCAAGCAAGTTCTTTAGAGAGACGTATACCATCAGTCGGTCCCCAGCCTCCAGCGAGTAAACGCCTGTGTTGGTTACCGTCCTGACCCCCTGGCCACAGTGGACGTGGTCTTTGGCTTTCATGAGAATCCGGTCTGTCATGTAGCTGTCCGACCAAACGTAGACCGCCTGCAGGAACCTGATCAGCCCGCTCTGGGGACAGATGTGATTATACGGCTCCCTGTAGGTCACCTGCAGGTAGATGGAGTACCTGCCATTCTCAGGGACAATGAGGGCGTGCCTTTCCTCGTCGTAGCTAAAGAGGTGGAGGTAGGCATCCCCTTTCTCGTACTCCCACGGAAGGTATGTAGATGAGACATTGACGTCTGACAAGGCTGAACAGAAAGTAAATATTAAAACAAACTGATATTTACCATAAAATCACATTCATCTGTCTTCCCCTTGTACCCTTGGACTTAGTAAACAGCTCGTAAGTATTTTGTAGATAAGTGCATTTCTGTCAATCGCATTCGCCATGGCAAGAAACTTGGTAAGCAATATAGTTCGGTGATGCAAACGCAGATCTGAGGAGGACCTGGAGCGTTAAAGATGAACTGCTCCTTAATTTTCAATTTTACTTTTTCTTTCGATGTCGATCTGCTGTAAGTATGATTTTGTTGTGCATTCCGGGACCTACCGGTAAGATGTGCGTTCGGGAGCGCGCCTTCCTGGCCGCGAGCCGCCACGGCTTCTGAATGAGAGAAAGGAGCTGATACGTGAGCCGCACACGTGCGTTGCCGCAGATAAGCAGCCTTCTCGCCGCAAGTATCACCGCATGCATCGACAGTCAGCCGCATAAAGTAGATAGTAAAGGCGATATGAGCAACATACCCTCTTTCGCGGCTACCTCAGTGCGCTTCGAAAACAACTGAAAAACAGACGCAATCACTATCATTAACTGTGCCACCTGTTATAAGCATTAATCCAGAGTCATGTTTCAAACGTGTCCACCTGACTGCATTTCCCCCGTAGGCAACACTTATCGGCAATAGCCCAAATAACAATAAAATAAGAAATATATTATCTCTGACAGCAATTACATGCAATTAAACCTAACATGATGCAAACAGCCATTTACCTTACTGCCGAAGAGAAACCCCAATGCGACTAGCCCACCACATAAAAACAACAGAAAGTAAATGACAAGCCGAGAGCTGCATCGCTGTCGCCTGGTCTCTTCCCTGTGGTTGTTTTCTGTTAAAATAAACTCGGATACTTCGCTATCGTTTAACGCCATCTCAAGTCAAGGTTTACAATTACAATGCATCAAATGGAAATTTGCCGAAGGAAAGGAACAGATTCATTGAATTGATTGCCTTTATGAAGCAGTTTGGGGCGGGCATATTGTATGTGGGCAGTGTCATCGCCGCTGCGATTTTCCTCATTTTCTGATAGTGAGCAAATGGAAAGTCCCGCAAATCCAGGGTTAAGCCGCGTCATGCTGCTACGCGAATTGCGGCTCCGTTCTTTCTGTAATTTGGAAGTACAGCAGCACGGGCTGGGTGGAAGAAATAGTCGCGATTCTATAGACCATTTCTACAGGGTGGGGGGCAGCCTGAGGCAGTTGTTCTGTTAGGGGGGGGGCAGATGCATTTGATCTTAATGTCCTCCAAGTATTATTTACACTAGATTGCCAGCATTAAGAAGCAAAAGACAATTTAGAAAAACCGATGTTATTTATGCAATGTTTTGCTGTTACATTTTACAGTTTTTGCAGATATGTAACACTCTGATTTCTTGTTTAGACTCTTATTTCGATGAGATTATTTTATGTTATTCGCTTTTTACTCACTGAGTCCGTATCGCCTGATACCCACGCACAGAATTGCATTCCATATATATAAATGTAAATAATAATGATAGTAATAATAGTCATTCATTTCAGACCCAAGTAGCATACGTATTTAGGGGGGCCACCGGAGGTCATGTTGTCACAGGGCACTGCTCCCCTCAGGAAAGCAATCCCATCCCTTATTTACCCAGCTACGCGCCCAGGTACGTGTAATACCGAAGTTTTTTATTTTTTATTTATTTGAGATGTGCAGTCCGCTTACTTATGGGGACATTGAGAGAAGCACTCCATTTAGGGCTGATTTATACTTGACGCTCACAACGCATAGTCGTACATACGCATTACGCCCGCCACGCGTTTTCCGCGTTCATTCCAAGCGTCGTACATGCACCTAAACGAGTAGTTAATGCGACACGTACGTCTTTGCAATGGAGGAGTGCTGTGCACATCAACACAATGAGGACGGAAATGTAAGTCATATCACACAGTCACTCAGTGATTATTCAGTTAGTTATTAGGTCTGCGACCAACAACAGGTGCCCAGCTGCAGGTCACGGGCACAATCTGTCATGCAATATGGAATTTGCAGAAGAGGTGAAATACAAATGTGCATATGGTGGCACCAGCCGCTTACTGAACTAAAGGCAGCAGGACCGGAAAGCTGAAATGATATTCATCCAGATTCATCCAGCCCACTGTTCTTCTTCAGGCTATTGACAGGGATGAACCATGGGGCGGGGGTATGGCTTGGTGGATTATAGGCTCTGTGCCTGTGATTGGTTGGTTGCTGGTTCAAATCCCATCCATGGTTGAATAGTCATATCTATATTGGATCCTTGAGCAAGAGCCCCTCCCCCCACCAAAAAATGTTCCAGGAGTACCAGGTGAGTGACTAACACTGTGTTAGACCCCACCTTCAATCTGTGTGGGTGTATATTTCTTAAAGGGGAGAAGATCAGATATGCAAAAGAAGTATGTCAAAGTGCTTGGGCAAGTAAAGCATTTTTCTAATTTTTGGGAGACTGAAGAGTACATCTGTGAGGGACCTACCAAACAGTGCAATGAGGTGTGAACTTCTGTGTGACCACACTGTCTGAACCCAGACTGAATCTATCAAATGAAAATACAACAAACGGCTACATCAATGCAATCTTGTTTTGGTCATGCGTCCCAAACTATTATAAGACATAGTGAGGGTGGGGTAATGTCATGTGTTCTATGCCATGGTATAATAGCATTAAGTTCTCTGTAAGCAGGAAATGGACATGTTATATTGATCATGTGGACATTTAAGTAATCCGTCTATAACTGTTTATCCAGTAAAGGTTCATGATGGACCTATTCCTGGAGGTACTGGGCATGACCCAGGATCACCCTGGCCAGGATGACAGCCAACCACAAGGCACACGCTAGCAGGCACCACCTGACCGATTCATCTAAGCATGCGTTTTCTTTAATACTACAGAGTGTTGCATTTTACCAATCATCTTACAGTTACGCAGACAGGAACTGACTCGAGTCTCACTCTGTGCTCTGTCCACTTCTGAGAGCAAAGACATAATAACACAGTAAACAAACAACTGTCAATCCAAAAAATGTGCCGTTGTGAACGAAGAAGCATACATTTCAGTATCGGACCAATTTAGGCCCAATCCCAATTCTACCCCTTACCCCTACACTTACCCCTACCCCTCCGTTTGGTGCGTTCACGTGTAGGGGTAGGGGTGTCTCAATTCTCTTTTGATTGGAGGGGTAGGGGTAAGGGGAAGGGCTAGATAGCCCTCGAAACGAAGATTTTTC